TGTGTTTTTAAGCAGAGGAATTGCTTCTCAGGATGTATTAGAAAACGGTTAGATTAAACCTTAAGTGGACTGAACTTTTAAAAGTTCAGAGGAAAGTTTTAAAAGTCATTGTGGCATCTCGAAGTTGAATTTTTACCAAATAAAAAAATTGGGCACTGATGTCATTTTATGCTCCAGGAAGATTGTGAGAATAACTAATAACACTTGGTGGAGGTTAATATAGTATTGAAAGTAGTAATTTTAACAATTTTGAACTCATTTTCAAAGACATAATTGGAATAATTTTCAATAGACATCAGTCTTTATTTGGGGGGAAATTACAGTGATTAAATTAACGGCAGGCAGCCTCTCTTATTGTTATTTGAAGATAATAGTCTGTTGGGGATTGGTGGGAAAAAAATGAATGATACATGTTCTATTAAAGACTTTATAACTGAAAAAAATTTCATCACTCATCTGTCTGGCTACAATTTATATACTAAAAGCGTAATGATCAGATGCAGCTTCCTTTACTGTATTTGGCCTGGAAAACTAATCCAAATGAACAATGAGAATAATGCTTTTCCTAGGATTAAAATATAGATTTTTCTTTTAGGGAGATGAATAATATGCCAGTTCAAAAGAAAATAATATGCTTGCAGAACTCTGTGCAAGTTGAAAGAAAAGAGATTTGTTCCTTTGTTAAGTATTTTCAGGTTTCTGTCTCTGCTTCCTTATGAAATTGAACACTGGACAAGGGCAATAATATCATACCCATTATGTAGGCATTTGAAATTACTCTTTTACTTTGAAATGAGGCAATCAAATCACTGAATGCTGATAAATTGTTCATGGATGAAAGAATAAGTGGATCTTGATCTGTCATCTCAGCTTTAGGCTCTTTGGGTGTGGCAAAGTGGCTTTTATCAGTGGAAAATATCACTCTGTGTCCTCAAGATCTTTCCAAACTCAGTAGGATTTAGATAGTGTGTCTGAGTGTAAATACCACCCAAATAGGCATCTGCACTTGTTCTTACCTGGACATGGGTGTAAAAGTTGTCTGTAAAAGTTGTCTGGCTTTTACTCCCATAAGTACCCATGACTTACGGATAGGAAATCCTAATGTTTAAGCTCTTTCTGGCTGGAATGTCTACTTAAGGATCTATGCATTGGTTGTGAATCAAGTTACATACACTGATAACCAAACTTTTCCTGATTGGATCCTAAACTAAACATTATTGGGACTGTGAGGTTCAAAAGTAAAAGGAAAATTAAAAAGTAACTAATTTAATATGCTTAGAAGTTCTTGTAGTAATATTGATTACTATGCTATGAAAAAGAAATGCTGTTTTCATGCTTTGGGAAGCAGAAGGAATTGACAAAAAGTCTTGTTCTGGGGAGAAAAGAAGAGCTGGTGAATTACTAGTTACACCAAATGCAAAGACATAAAAGTGAACAAAGCCAATTACTTGGCATTCAATACAGCTAACATTCATCTTCTTTTATATTGTTTCTGCTTTGATTATTGTAATTTCAAGTCATTACAGTTAGAAAATGTTTTGATAAGGCATAATATTACATTGCCTTGTAATTTAGCGTACTAGAGCTGTAAGGCACAGAGTGTGGACAATGGAGAGTGCAGGCTGTAGAAGAGAAAAATCGTCTAGATTTATTTCATGTGAAAGCACAGGGCTTCTTACTCAGGATGAGACTTGCAGTATTACTATCCTTAATTTTTGGCCACAGATACTGTCTCCTAGTTCCATAAACTTGCAAAAATTGTCATTCAAACAGAAAAGATGATCAAAAATACCTACCTGGTGGAGTTGTGCAAATCGAGTAAATGAATCCCATGGCAGAGCATTTTGTAAATTGCAAACTATGACATTAATTTACTTTGTAGAAGGCAATCACAAAGTGTTATTAAGTGACTGAAAGAACATATTAACCCAACCTAATTTGTACTTTTTCTAATGTATAAAAAGAAGAAAAACATTCCAACTTCACATGTGTCTCTGCCAAAATTTTCACCTGAGTGTAATTGTGAAGAGACAATTAGATAAACTTAATTTGAGGGACATTACACAGAAAACAACAGGTGTGAACTCTACAAAAATGTCAATTGTCAAAGACAATTTGTATATATTGTCATATGTATATGACATATATACAATAATGATTCTTGATTGAATCCTGGCTTTAAAATAAAATGTAATAACTACCCAGACTGAGACAATTGGGAAAATTTGAGCTGTTTATTAGATAACGTTATTATATCAAATTTCCTAAGTGTGTTTATTGTTTTGTAATTATGGTAGGATATTTGTTCTTAGGAGGTACATGCTACAGTTGTGTTTTTTAAAGTTTTTATTTATATTCCAATTAGTTAATACACAGTGTAATGTTAGTTTCAGGTATACAATTTAGTGATTCAACACTTCCTATATATCACCAGATGCCCATCACAAAACTGCATTCTTTAATATCCATCATCTATTTAACCCATCCCCCCAAACATCTCCCTTTGGTAACTATCGTTTTGTTCTCCAGAGTTAAGAGTTTGTTTCTTGGTTTGCCTCTCTCTCTCTCTCTCTCTCTCTCTCCCCCCACCCCCATCTCTTTGTTTGTTTGCTTTGTTTCTTAAATTCCACATATGAGTGAAATCATATGGTATTTGCTTTTCTCTGACTGACTTCATTTAGTTAATACTCTCTAGCTCCATCCATGTCATTGCAAATGGCAAGATTTCATTCTTTTTTTATGGTGGAGTAATATTCCATTATATAATACACACACACACACACACACACACACACACACATACACACACACATCACCTCTTCCACTTGGGTTATTTACAAAGTTTGGCTATTGTAGATAAAGCTGCTATAAAACATTGCAATATATGTATCCCTTTGGATTAGTAATTTTGTATTCTTTGGATAAATACATAGTAGTGCAATTGCTGAATCATAGGTAGTTATATTTTTAACTTTTTGAGGAACCTCCATACTGTTTTCCAGAGTGGTTGTGCCAGTGTGCATTCCCACCAGCAGTGCAGGAGGGTTCCCCTTTCTCCACATCCTCTCCAACACCTATTTCTTGTGTTGTTGATTTTAGCCATTCTGACAGGTACAAGGTGATATCCATGCTAAAGATTTTCCGGATGAACCATCTTTATAGGTAATTCTCAAATGGTTTGGTAAAATATTTACATATATAGACAGAGGTAAAGCAAATGTGGCAAAATGGTAATAATTTTAGAATCTAGTGAAGGCTACTCAGGTGTTCATTGTTAAATATTCCCACAGATTTTTATTGTTTAAAAAAATTCAAAATGAAAAGTTGGAGGAAGATTTATAAAGTTAAAAAGCCCAAATACTCAAAACACTTGAGTCATTAAAAAACAGATCTTTAAATATATCTGTCCTTTACAGATCATGTTTTTCTACCATCTCATTGTGCTGTGAGATATAAATATATAGGCTTAAAAAAGAAGAATCTTGCAGCAAAAGCGGTGCTTGAAGGAAATTTATAGAATGGAATGCATATATTAGAAAAGAAGGAAGATCTAAAATCAATAACCTAAGTTTCCATTTTGGAAGCTTAGAAAAAGAAGAACAAATTAAATCCAAAGTAAGAAGAAGAAAAATAATAATATTATTAGCAACAATCAATGAAATGGAAAACAGGCAATTAACCAGCTTTCATGGAAGCTGTAATCATGTCACCTCTTTCATTTCTGATATTAGTAACTTGTGTCTTCTCTCTTTTTTTCTCACTTAGCCTGGCTTGAAGTTAATTGATTTTATTGGTCTTCTCAAAGATGCAGCTTTTGGTGTCATTGAGTTTCTCTATTGAAAACTTACGTCTGCACAAAAATCTGCACGTGGATATTTATAGCAACTTATTCACAACTGCTACAACTGAGAAGCAACCAAAATGCCCTTCAGTGGGTGAAGGGATAAAGAAACTGATACGTTTAGACAATGGAATATTATTAAGTGCTAAAAGGAAATATGTTATTGAGCTATAAAAAGACATGGAGGAAACTTTAATGCATATTACTGGGTGAAAGGAGCCCATATGAGAAGGCTACACACTGTATGACTACAGCTCTTTGACATTCTGGAAAACACAAAACTATGGAGACAATAAAAGTTCAGTGGTTGTAAGGGTGGGAGAAATGAATATGCAGAGCACAGAGGACTTTAAGGGTGATGAAAATGCTATAATATTATATCATATGATATTATAATGTATGATATAATGATAGATATATGTCATTGTACATTTTTCTATAAACATAGAGTGTACAACACCAATAGCGAACTGTAAGGTAAACTATGAACTTTAGCTAATTACAGTGTGTCATGTAGGTTCATCCTTGGTAAAAAAAAAAAAAAAAGTATATATATACATATACATATACCATTCTGGTGAATGATGTTAATAATGGGGGAGACTATGCACCTGTGCAGGCACATGTGGGACATAGGGGACATCTCTATATCTTCCTCTCAATTTTACTGTAAACCTAAAACCGCTCTGAAAACTGAAGCCTTACAAAAATCTGTACTTTTCAAAACTTATGATTTAGGCAATGAGTGGGATGATTATTACTAATATGAAACATTTTCCCACTGACAGAATTCCAGGAAAACAGATGGAAGTTCTAAATCAATGGGCACATCTTTCAAGATATTTAAAAGCAAAGTAAAAATATATCTTGAGGAGTGTTCAAAGGAATTTGAACATTATTTTCACTTTATCTTTTAGAAAGCATTCAATTCCAAGGGATCTCAGTTTAATGATTTTCCTGCTAGTTTACTACCTAGGTCTTCTTTCTGATGAGATAGAACTTTTTGTCTCATTTTCTAATCAGATAGTTATTATGATGAGTGAGTTATTGTTTTGTTGCTTTCTTCTTGGGGTTGATATAACAGGATTATGACTTCCTTCTAGGCACTTGGGTCCAGAAAGGAATCTTATGACCACTTTCTTGTCTTTTTCTTGTACAGATCAGCGGCAAAGGAACTGGAACGAGAACACTCATAGCTTTTTTGGTATGTAATTGAAAATTCCTCAAAACTAATCCTTTCTTTTAGTGACTTTTATGACCTGAAGGGCCTGTACTCCACTTTGTTATTCTAATTTGCGAACCAAACTGTAATAGCCTAGCTATATTTATCCCTTGGCTAGTATTAATGCAGAGCGAAGCTAATAGTATTAATAAATAACCACCTATGTTTGGTTCTCTAGATTTCCCTTGAAAATGGATTCTTGGTGGTAATTCCTTGTCAGTGGGAGCAATTTTTAGTAAAGCATTTTATATACGTAATGATCTTTTTTGACCTCCTGGGTGGTAAGCAATGTAGCGTATTGATCAAAGTACCATAGATGTATAATTATGTGAGGAACCTATTTTATAAGCAAGTATGTGTTTAGAGGCCCAAGTGCAAACTGCATGCTCTAGAAAATGAGGCATTTACTGATCTAAATTTACTACTGATTCAAATAAAATATTTATATTTAATAACTATAAAAATTAAGATAATCTTGTTCTTGCCTTCAAAGTTCATCACTAGGGGATCTAGGCAAGACTGGAGTACTTTGAATATGTGTGTAGTTCTCATTATTCCTTTGATTTTATATTTATAAAATAATCTTTTAAAAGAATTATTATATGTCTTTGCTCCTGACTAAGACATCCATCTCCTGTTCGGTTTAAGTCCTTTATAAAGATGAAATACAATTCTAAACTTGCTGGGGAATGCATGGGAAGCATTCTTTTCAGAGCTTTCTATCAAGGACACATTTTTTGGTATGTGACTCTATGGATATAACTGAAAATCTGGTAGTTTTCCAGAAAAATGTTAGTACATGAAGTTAACTATTATTTTTCTAAGAGCCAAACCATAACAAGAATGATCACTATTGCCTTTGGTATGGACTTTCTCCCACTCCCAATTATATTGCAACTGTCTTTGAAACATTGCTACCCATGACCCATTAGTCACTATCATCCTTTTCAGTGACCATCTCCGTCTCTTTTGCTTCTATAATTGTTAAAACCTGTTCTTGTTGTCCAAGTCACTGACAAAAAAATTAGTTTTGGTGCATATGTTTACTGTTTAGATGTCTTCAAACACATAAAGTCTTATTGTTTCAACATGTGTGTACTTAAGATATGCATTTATTCACAAGACACATTGTGTGATTCAGATCAGTAAAACTCTCACGTTGCCTTCTATGGTAAAAAAAAATGTGTCATTGGTCATAACATTTGATATTTCATTGAAGAATTTTAAGTGATACTTTTTATACTTACATTTTTCATTGATGATTTCCAAACTAGTTACCTGAAGGTATTGAAAAAAATTGGTGGATTTTACCGTCTCTAGAAGTTGTCAAATACCACATACTTTTTTCTAGCAAAGCATTTCTGATCCTTAGATTAGGGATCTCCTCATTATGGAAAGTATCTGGAAAAAGCCCAGCTTGTTATCAGAAAAAGGTATGTTATGAGGGAAACTTGTACTGGTGGAAAGACTAGGTTAGTTGAACTCTCTGGTCTCTTGGAATATAAAATTTGATAAATCTTATGGGTGATGATACTCAGGCAATGACCAAATTAGATCACCTGAGTTTTGCTAAGGATTATAGAAATTCTTGCTCTGAACAAAATCAGAGACAGAGTATACTGGTGAAGATGGTAATCTGAACTCAGTTGGCCTGGGTTTGATCTCATCTCTGATACTGCCTATGTGACCTTGGTCATTTTACTAACATTTATGTGCCTCATTTCCCTCACGTGTTGAATGGAGATAATATTAGTATCTCATAAAGTTGATGCAAGGATTTAATGAGTTAATGTGACTATAGCTCTTAGAACAATAGATAGTATACAGTTAGGCACTCCATAGTTAGTTGATAGTAATGAATGAATGATATTGTCATCAGCTGGGGCATTTGTGCCTCTTGGAGAGACTTATACATTTGTCACCAATCCCCCAAATTTATGATGCTTAAGAGTGGAATGCATCTGACAATGATTTCTATGAGTTTCTAGCAACTAACCTCTTCAAGTTTCTTGATGCAGTCTTGGTTCTACCTGAAGCCAACATGAAGACAAAGCTCATATTGTTCTTACTTTCTATTTACCCCAACATTGTTGATGTCACTTCTGTCACGCTGTTTTTCTTCATTTTCTGGGCTCAATTTTCTGTCTTCCTCTCATTGCATTACGTAGGCCTTTCTGCTTGCATTTAAACACTTCTGTCTATAAGATTTGACAACAAAGGGACTTATAGTATTTTTCTAGCAAAGCTAGATGCTTATCTAAGAGAAAGTCTTGAACAGCTACTAGGGTAATACAATGTCTTCCAACTTGATGCAAAAGCATATTAATCACTTTCATCTTTACTAACGTCATTAAGCAATTTTACAGTCACTCTGATATATTAAAGGCATAATTTCTCAGTCCAAGTGTGTGTAATGAGAGCAGACAGTTCATATTTAGTTCTTATTTACACGTGCCTACATTTCTGGTTCTATGATTATTTTTAGTTCTTCACAGAATTTTTCTTCACTTTTTAAAATTGTGGTAAAATACCCATACCATAAAATTTGCAGTGTGAGCCATTTTTTAAAGCTTCTTTACTTATTTTGAGAGAAAGAGAGATCAGGGGAGGGACAGAGAGAGGGGGGGAGAGAGAGAGAATCCCAAGCAGACTCCGTGCTGGAGATCAGGACCTGAGCCAAAACCAAGACTTGGATGCTTAACTGACTGAGCCACCCAGGTGCTTTCCTGTGGGAGCCATTGTTAAGTGGTATTAAACACATGCACATCACCATGCAGCCAACACTCCAATCCATCCCCGTAACTCTTTTCATCTTGTAGAACTAAAACTTTACACCTATTAAACAATAACTCTCTATTCTCCCCTCCCCTCAGCTCCTAGCAACCATTATATTTTTTGTCTTTATGATTTTGAAATGCTAGTAAGCCCTTCATATAAGTGGAATTGTACAGTATTTTTCTTTTTATTTTTCTTTTTGTGATTGGCTCATTTCATTTTGCCTAATGCCCTCAAAGTTCATCCATGCTATAGCACATGTCAACATTTCCTTCCTTTAAAAGGCTAAATAATATTCCATTGTGTGTATATACCACATGTTGCTTATCCATTTATCTGTTGATAGACACTTGGGTTGCTTCCACATTTTAGCTATTGTGAATACTGTTGCTGTGAGCATAGATGTATAAATATCTCAGTGCGACCCTGCTTTTAATACATATGGGTAAATACCCAGAAGTGGAATTGATGGATCATGTGTTAATTCTGTTTTAAATTTTAAATTGTTTTCCACAATAGCTGTACCATTTTGCATTCTCACCAACACTTTTCACAGAATTCTTAAGTACAGAATGCTTGTCTAATTATTTTGACATATTCCTACTGGGCAGTGAACATGGTGAAGTTTGAAGTGAATACATTTTGAACGTAAGGTTATATTTTTCCAATTCCTTTTTTTCCTGCTGTGCCTATGAAGGCTATGTTCTAAGGCCTACTTAATGTTAATTTATGTTACCAGGTGATTCAGAGCGTCAATGGACTTTTTCCAGAACAGAAACGTGTGGGACCAAGTTTCATACCTCTAATGGAAAAACAATTTGGACTCCAAGGATTTATTGGCTTAGTTTAAAATAAACTCTATATTAAAATCCTATGTCTTGGCAGCTAAGGAATAGATGACCACATATGTTTTCTTCTGAAAGCTCATAAGTTTGTTTGTTTTTTATTTTTCACAAAATACACCAATGTGACCAGGAATGGGACAAGTGGATTACAAAGAGGGAATTGGCTAGCTGAAAAATATACTTACTTAGAGGTTTGAAACAGAATCTGCAAGCTTTTCAAATTATCAATGGAACAGGTTAACATTTGTGGTATTATTTTTTCTGGTTAACTAATATTTGTGCTTTCTTAAATTTTGATTCAAAAATACAGATACAGCTTTCTAAGGGACAGAACCCAATTCCAAAACTGAGAAGTTATTAGCTGAAAATCTCACACTCTTTTGAGGTTATTTCTACAAATTAGTGGGACACTTTCTCAGAAAATCTGCATTTATTGTTTATGGACAGTGAGTGTAGAAAGGAGGAAGAATAAGCTTACTTAAGGAGCAAAAGTATTCTGGTTGCCAGACATTTCATTTGTTGATTATTTCACTTGAATATTAAAAAAATGTAGCAAAGACTTTTGTAAATGATTAGTGAGGCCCAAGTAGCTCTTATCAGGGGAGGCTAGGCTATGCTGTGGTAGCAAATTAACTTGAAGCCTCAGTGGCTTACCACAAGGAATTTTTATTTCTTATTCATGCTATGTGTTCAGTGCTGGTCACATGAGAAGGGGAAGGCCCTTCTCCTTGACATGGTCTCTCAGAGGGGTGAGCTAATGGAAGCTCCATCTTCTTGTGGCACCACCATAGCAGCAGCTGGCTTCAGGGTTTGCCATGACAGGGAAGAGAGAATGAGGAGCACTCTTCTCCAGACTGGAAGTGATGCACATCACCTCCATCCAGAACCTATGGGCCAGAGGTAGTTGCATTGCCTTTCCTAACAATCTGGGGCCGGCGGTCTTCCTGGGGTGCAAGGGAGGAGAGAAAAACTGGATATAATGAGCATGAATAACTTCCTCCTTTGATGAATTCTGCTGTAAAGTATTGGATTAGGCATCTCTATAAAATACTTTTCCTTCTGAAATCAGTCACACTCATAATTCTTTCTGTTTTTCTATGTAGGTAAGTAATTTTCATCTTTTTAAATTAACTTCACATTTTTAATGTGCTAATGTTAGGTAGGAATAAATAAAATAAGGATTATTAAGAAGGAATTAGTAAAGGTATAGATGTAACCAACCATGAACAAAATGTCTATGGAAAAATGGCCGTCATATGTCAATGTATCTGTAAGCTTCATTTGTATTATCAATCATATTTCATTATTTCTTTTTATTTTTTGTAAAACCATAACTAAAACTTAAATGGAACTCCAAATGTA